TTAGCTATGTCAATAAAAGATTTTTACTTTTGTCTATGCGGTACTTACAGTTTTCACAAAAGTCGGTCATGAAAATGTTAGGTGACGGACTTGATACGCGACTGAAAACTTTCTGTAAAATCGCACATAAGTAAATGGRGAGAGTCGTTTAATAACCATCAAATCCAATTTTATGGTCCAACGGTCTCTTTGTTATCAATGTCCTTATGATTGATGATCTATTATGCAACAAACCTAAGGTCCTTATGTTTTGATAAACTCGTTACGTCAGAAAGACCTGAATATTATCGATTGYTATAGAGATCTTCAAGTTATCTTTCGAGATTGTAGTAATCTTAAGAATGCGCAATAATCAACTGSCGGCGTGTAATTTTGTGACGATGAAAATTTCCCCCGAACTAGTTTAAAACAATACCTAAAAGGCAAAGAAAAAATAACGGATTGACGCAGCTTTGACCAAAGCACTTTTGAAGCGACTTCTTGATCAGTTTAGCTAAAAAGTACGAATAGTGCGCATTTATTGGGTGCTACGCCCCTGAACAACACATTGCAGTCTACAATTAATTTAAGCGAGATATCTCTTTGTCACAAAAGTTGTGAAAATGACTGTGAAACCAGTACATTCTTTAAGAAAAAGAATGGGGGTATATTTAACAATTAGACCACGAGGTCGAGTACAATTGATAGTTGATCGAGATGGACTATCAAATATATCTCTCTAAACCGGGGTCGTCAAATTGTTTTAGTATCCACGAAGCTTTGAGATAATTTGGAATCAGAAAAAAAAAAACGATTTTCCTCTATAGAATTCCATCCAACTTGGCAAGTGTCTCCACTTTGGTAAGTACTGTCTTTTTAGGGCTTTTATTTTATTTTATTCCATTTTTTGCAACTTGTTCACGAAAAACCACAGCAACTTTAAGGCTAAACCATTTTTTTCTAATTAGGTCTCTATAGAGCACATTAGTTAATACTCGGATATAAATTTTTAAAAGATTTGAAGGTGTTTGTGATATTTTTCAAGGTCCTAAAAAAAATCCAAGTTGGCCTCCCTGAAGTCACGTGATATCGYTTTCATGGCAACAAAAGCCCTAAAAATACAGTACTTGCCAAGTTTGATGGAATCTATTGAAAGGCCAAATGTTYAGAAGAAATTTGGTGAATATTCGCTATTTTTCCAAGAGCCATGCAACCAAGGTTTAACATGAATAGACCATAGCTCAATAGCCAATCAGAATGCTGGATAATTGAAAGGTCATATTTAGGTGGATAATAATGTTAGACAAACAGAGGACAAAATAAAATTAGCTGCTAGTCTAAAGTGCATTAGTCTCACTGATATCTCACTGCATTTTGACTTCGGCAATGACCGCGGATTATAATAAAAGGGAGGAAAATACGTTGGGGAGTGGGGTGGGGTGGGGTGGGAGTGGGGCGGGGGGAGAGTTTACCATGATAGGAGAGGAATAAGCTTGTATTCTGCATATTGCATATTTCATTGTAGAGTTTATTGGGCCGTTTGTGGCGTACTCAGACTCTCTCGTTGATATGGACTGATATCAGAAGTACTTCTGCTGATATGCGTGAGAAAGATCATCATGTGTGAGGTTTTCTCTTACATACATCTATGTGAGATATTCAATGACAATACGTTTTTCTGGCGAGCACCATTCAGCCCTGGTTGAGTTCTTGAGCTAATCATATAATTATAATTTTTTCGTTGTCATACTGTGTATTGGATTTTTCGATCGGCCAATGCACGCGTCGTAATGTTGGCAAATTTACAATAATGAAGCTGAACCCGCATGGTTTCAAAGAAATACAAAGGGAAACATTTTTTAGCARGTTTTTAATGTCAATTTCTTCATTCTTAGATATCGCGATCGATCTAATCACGCTTGAAGGTGTTTCAAAATTTTATARGAGCTTTACTATATGCAGGTAATTTGATTATTGGTCGTTTTGAATCTTGGAGTAWAATTTATTCTGCGAAGGAAGTTTCGTTTTCCGTGTTTTTCCCTTCGCATATGAAGCTTCCCGATTTCACCGTCGCCACACACCTCAATGAAAACAACGGAAACGCTTGAATTTGGAATTGCAATCAAAKGAAAGATACATAAAAGAATGAATAAACAAATTACAATCAGCTTTTGTCTTTCTGCCACTCGATATAATACTTTCACCTCATTATTACGCCGACAGACGTTCCGTAGAAATTACTGAAAATAACCCCCTTTATAGCGGAAGCACGAACGCTAATGCATGAAGGCTTTAATTAAGTTAAGGTGCCCGTTCAAATTGACAGTAAGTATTCAGATGAATCTTTGGACAAGATTTCGCATCTGCTTGCCATACGTTGTTTGTCAGAAATTGGGCTAACATGGCATACTGTGCGGGCTGTTTGAGCTAAGAGCTTGTAATGCCTAGATTATAATATCAAAGACCTACAAAAACAATGATTCCTTACTGAGGAAGTGTAGAAGAGCCAYACAATTTAAAGGGATTACAAAGGGATTAAAAAAAACAGGAAAAAGGGAAGAGAAAAACTGCATGGTGTGTGGTGCGTCGGCGTTTTTAAAGAAAAGAAGASAGAGAGAGAAGACAGAAGTTAGACAAAAGCAAAGAAAAATTAGCGGGTGTTTGTGGCGTTGTGGCGTTATAAATAAGGAATCAAAACAAAAAAAGTATCTCCTGGAACTGAGCCATTGTAGCAATTCGCAAGGGGGTTAAAGGACAGTGTAGTGATAGGCTGATCTTCAGGAAATTGCTAAGYCTGTTGGGGTAGACCGCTACTTACTCGTACCCACTCGTTTAATCCTCTCTCTCGATCAGCGTACAGGAAAAATGACTGACAGAGAGGCCCACGAGATAAATTACCCCCTACACAGGATCTCCCGTCAAGTAACAATAGTCAATGATTGAAGATTGGTTATCTGAGTTAAAATAAATGAATCGATCGATCAATTGATAGAGCAATACTATCACTTGTAATGTTAAGATCTTCACAAATAATTTTCAGATTACACCATATTCCGCATTAGAATGATTTATTCATCTAGACGGCTGAATACAAGCCCACTCCTTACCATTAAAAGGCTATTCTATCCTCTAAAAAACATGGATCTGACTGTATGTAGCTCTTATAATTATGTCAAGACGTGCATCAAATTTTTTTGGGCTTTAAAAAAAAAAYAAAAAATAAAAAATGCGGTGGCCGGTTCGCTACCGCTTTAGTCATGGGATCCTTTCAAATCTTGCATGTGGYGAGYTCAATGCAACTTCCTTATCATTTCACTTGAAATCAATGTGCAAGTATTTATACAAACAGAAACCTCCGGACTTGAAGAAATAAGCCATTTTGAAATCGCAATYGGAGAAGTGAGAAGTAGGCGAGGAAATATAGTACAGCCATCGAYAGTGGTGTTTTAGCAGCCACTAAGTCATGACTAAGTTACCCTGGGTCGGGTTGTCCAAATCCTGGATTAGCGGTAAACTCGGGTAAACTCTTAAAACCTACGAAATTATCCCTAGATTAACGCTAATCGACCTTAGAACAAACCGGCCCTGGCCTGGATACCCCGAGGTTGGAGTATACCCTTTCTCATATGAGTTTATGTATAKCGCAAAGTGCAGTCAAAATAAACTATATAAATTATCAAAAAGGGCAAATTCCACGGCTCTTGCACACAGAGTGACACGCGCGTTTTTAGGAATAACAGAAAATACCTACAAATTTCCGTTCAAATCATAGATATTTCAGTATATTTGGTTGACCGAGTTTGATTATTCACGATTATTTGGGTTTGTCAATATGTAACGATTATGTTATTATATTATGGATCATTGTGAGTTAGTGAATAATGAACTGAAACAACGATTGCTATATAGGGAAATAGACCAACGGGCTTAAATTAAATAACTGTTCTTACCAGAACTGATTCAGAATAATGCTTTATTAGACTTATATGTAAATGACACTCGAACCGAAACTGGCAGAAATATTGGATGTCAAATGTAAAATATCGATRTTTCCACACTTTCCAATCAGTTTTGTTTAAATACTAAATTGTTCCGATAATTGTCCTCGAAAACATCCGTTTTCAAAGATTTTTTTTGGGGGAGCATTTGTTTTACAATAGAAACTAAGGTTTCATCGCAAAACAGGTGATCTTTTTGAGACCRTATTGCGCATGCGTCGTTCTCATTATTAGCCGTAACATTTGGAGATTGGAATATAAAAAAAGGACTAGATTTAAAGCAATTGAGGGCTTAAGAGGACCGAATAAAACAATTGGACAATCATATTGGATTTAAGTAGCTTTATTTCTCAATCATTACGAATGTCAATAAACAAACTGAGGTGGTCTATGCTGAATAAAAAGGAAAGATTCAAMGTAAATATTATCAAAGCAGCTTAAATATCGCTTCAAGTCGCGAAATGTTAGTAATATAGAGAGGTGTCCGTAATACAGACCAGTCATATATATGAACAACAATGAAGTCAAAATTATTGAGCCGAGAACTTAARAGTTGTCCGTAATATGGAGGTGGCCGTGTTTTTTGCGAGTGTATTTGAGAGTGTATTTGCCCAAATTAATCCTCCATAATTAGAGTCTATTTTCCCGTCTTTCAAAAAAAGAAAACTACAAAAAACAAACAAAACTGCAAAATGAAACTCTTCACTTCAACATCTATATGGTACCTTTATTTTTTAAAGAATTGACTTAATCGAGAATACTAAAGCAATGTAACGAAAAAACTATTACGTACTGTAATATTCTAATAAATATATTACACTTTACCAGGCGGAGTTTGACTAATAATCACTGTCAAAATGATTTATTGTTAATTATTTGTAAGGGGAGGAATTATTCAAAAAACGCTACAGATAAATTTCCGTTTCGAAAGAAAATATTCTTCGATAAGAATCTTCCCGACATTGTGAAGTGAAAAAACCTCCCCCCCAATCTAACACAGGTGATAGTTATAATATTACACACACTGTATATAGCACGATCTTGACATCTTAGGAAGGAGTTAGAATTTGAAAGGTACTATTCTCTTTTCATTGGATAGTTGATAATAGACAATGTCAAAAGAGATTTTAGGCATGCTCTGTGATGTAGGAATAACTAAATTACTAGAGAAGATTAACATGAAAAATAAGCAATCGCGAGAGAAAGACAGGAAACAGACGTGAAAGGATAACATTGCATGAGWGTTTTTTCAATTTAAACTTTGAASATTACGGCGTTGTTTCTTACAAAGGKGGAAATTTTAAGCGAAACGTGATAAAACGTTTGATTGGTTTTCAATTATTGAGGTTACTGGCTATAGAAAATACATGAATTATTTATTACAAGTTKATTAAAGTGCTCTACATATAAGCAATTTGCATGCGCGCCATTTCAAGTGTGATCCGCAGACTCTTCTTACTCAGAACTCCCGCTGCCCACCAAGACATTTTCTGAACCAAAACAAGAAATCGCCGACGAATTACATAAGTGTATTCCAGATTTTCAAACCGCGAAMAGATTGAGAGTCAGATCGCTTGATAAAATCAAATGTAGCCACCTACAGTGGCTGTGCAGATCTCGGTTAAAAATCATTCTGACGCCAGTTGATTTGTAACGAAGGTAGACACAGATGAAGAGATTGTGATATACCTGCAACACGGCAAATCTACAAGCACTAGGGTATGTGTCACCGAGCTTTGTTGACTAGACCGCCGTCTTACGGGGTTTTAGAATATCTAAATATTCCAGTCTGCTTTTACCCGTATAGACCTTTAAAAATTGATTAGAACAGAGTAGAGGAAATTTTGCATCGTAATACGAAAAGTGGCGTGGTAAATCACGCTCTTTATGAAAATGTTGCAGSTTTTTTTCACGTGAATTTTGAAATTTGTGTTATTTTGGCGAGTATGCTACCTTTTTTGACAGCTGATTCGMCTTGTAGTATTTTGAGTGCTCATGATTAATTCGTTGATCTTAATTCTGCATTACAGCTTGACTGTGTGTTACTTATTTAGTTCTTGACCAAGTTTTAGAGTCATTGAAATATCCCATGGTAATACATTTTGTATTCTCATTCTTTATTTCGGTATTTTTGAACAAAAGTTCGTCAAAGGCACCATGTGTATAACTTTTAAATCGCTGAGGATTATGCCTGATAGTTCAAGATAAAATGAAAACATGAATTATTTGACAATATTCCAGTCATAAAACAAAATCATTAACAAGATTTCATTCTAGTTTGCGATTTGCACCTGCTTCAGCACAAAATAAAAAAAAGTGTCATCAACGGTACGACGTTTCAAATCRGACCAATTATATCTTTTTTTCAACTGTCATTTCAGTGTTTTCTCAACGGGTTRTTTTTCATAATAGAAGAAGGACAGATTCATACAACTTTTCTTTTAAGGGGATGAAAGACATTGAAAATAATTACAATATATAAATTAACACAAGTGCATTGTTAGTCAAACACGTATAATTGTTACAAAAAAAAATCTTGAAATGTCGTTAACTTGAAAAAATTATGAAAAGTGGGTGAAGGGGTGCTCAAAATATCTTGATAGTTGAATTAAGAACAAAAGAAATCAATAATTCACGGTTGAWGATGTAATACCGAAATAATGCACGGTTATGTGTCTTAAATACTCAGCAGTTTTGAATAAGGGATAAGCTTTATATATAGAGTTAAAGGAAATATTCCTGATTTAAAAAAACTAAAGCTTTTGAAACTTTAATCGATCAAAACTGTGAAATTGAAAACAAATAGCAACAAAAAACGAGGGGAATACACTGATAAGACCACCTACTGTCAAGCTGTGGACCCTCCTACTCTATTACGAAGGCTTTTTTAATGAACATAAAAGAACAGAAGTTCCCTCAGCCAATTATTTCAAGCTTGACTAATAGAGGATTTGCCTGGAGGCTCCCGTATACTTTATAAAGATAGAACAAAATGTTTAAAAATAAACTTTGCTATCGGAACTTTTTTTTTGGTTTTAATAATATCTGTTTGCTATAACTTTGTTTTATCAATTGGATATGCTAGARCTTCCTCTTTATCAACTGCATATTATTTATATTGCTTTTTGCTTTGACAACATTCTGCAATTTATTTATTTTTTCTCTTAGTTATCAAATGTATTCAATATTTGTCGATGTATCTTATTTGATAATCCCTTTTGTCATACATCAGTCAACTATATAGTAAATATTATTTATCTACCTTATTCGTACTAATTTTCGCGAGCACTTAATTTCGCGAATTTTAAACACAAATATTTCGCGAGCATTAATTTTCGTGATTTTGAAAAAAAGGATACATTTAGTGCATTTAATTTCGCGAAAATTGAAAGACAGGCGGACAGAGAGACTTAAAATTCATTTTTCACTGAATGATTACTTAAACAATAATCTAAGATTTGTATATAAAATGAAATGATTGTAGAAGTGCATTAAATTTCGCGTGTATAATTTTCGCGGATTTTTTTTTAAATCGCGAAAATCACGATATTAAAGCCTCGCGAAAATTAGTACGAATAAGGTATTTATCTGTTTAGTATCTATGTATTTTTCTGTTTGTAGTTTGTCACAACATTCAAAAATTTTCTTTCACTATGACAGMGTCTTTGTTCATCAGATTTATTTAGTCTGAATACAGACAATGAAATTCTCGCCGCTAAATCATATACTGCAGTAAATATCCATATTTATCATATAATTATCTATGAAATACCTATATTTCTCCATACGTAAAATTGATATCTTCACTAGTGAAAATAATACATTCGAGGTTTCTCTATATAGTGGAAGTAAGAAAATAGGTATTTTAAGGCATAACTTTCATATTTAATTATATGATAAACAGAATATTACATGGTCGCTTGGAGATACAAATTTTATCTTCTCGTGTTGAAAATCTCTCACTCGTTCGTTACGCTCACTCGTGAGAGATCTTTTCAACACWCGAAGATAAAATCCGTATCTCCGCGCGCTCATGTAATATCCTCTATATGTTAGTTGATATATCAAATATATTTATTACTTGATWATGTTTATGTCAGAATAAAAAAAAAAATATTGTTATTCAGTATAAGATCTTGTACGCTTGTTTAATTCTACAGTTGAATATCAACGAAGAATAAGAATATTTTCGGAATTTCATTCATTTTGTTTTATACCTTTAATTTGTGGAAAAAAACTGCAAATTACAATGCTTGAATGACCTTTAATAATCATAATTTCAAAGTATCCAAGCGATTTTTTTTTGTGCATGAAAAGAGCGAAAATCCCATGAAATTACCCATGATGCACCCGGTATAATGATATGTAAGCGGGCAGAGTTTTTGCCAGGGACTGTATGTTGATGTACCTTCAATTCATKTGTTCATTACGTCTATTTAATCAATAAGTAGTTAGTAATTAGTGCTGATTTGGACCTATTCAATCATTCATTAATCTACTTATCTATTCATTATCCATGTATTTTTTATGTAGTTTACCATCCTTAGGAACCCATCCAGGCGTACTCTTCTGTTTTTTTCGCGGGAAGCGAGGAAACGAACGGTACAAGATTTTATACGCCTTGGTTCCCGAGCATGATAGTTAATCAAAACATTTTGTATTTAGCGATCTATTCACGTCAGGTAAACAACACATGTATTTTTTCTTAGTTTTATATTCATTCAATTAGCTATTTATTTTTGTCTTACGCTCGTTTACAAAAATGTTGGCCCAAACGAAATCTATAAACAGATTTTTTTTTTTTTTCAAATCAAGGTGACTGGGTAATAACGTTTTCCAAAACCCCAAACGAATTGAGCACAAATCTCATTGAGTTAATTATTTTCTTTTTTTGATTGATTCATTTTGATTCAGTCTGATTTAATTGTTTATCCATTGACTAACGTTTAGAACGAAGCGTTTGTTTTTGGAATAGACAGTGTGCATCGACGCCATTTTGTACAGCAAAGCATGATGGGAATTGTAGTCCTCGCACTTTCAAACCGTCATTTATTTTAAAATCACCCATTAAGTCGGTTCCCATATAAAGTATTTACCGTCTGAAGTGGCGGTACTTTTTATGGTATATTTACTCACATAACTGTGGGATATTTTAGCACTATACCTAACATAAGTGGACTTGTTTTTATAGCGGCKACCCTTCCAAACTGCCGACACTTTAGTTTATATTTAATGACCATTTATCAATGCGCAGTCACTTGCAAAAAAGGGTAATTTCATGAAATTTTCGCTCTTTACTGGCTAAATAAGACGGTAATTTAATCGAACTCTTTAGAATTATGCTTCATTAGGGCTAATTAATATATTCTTCAGTTTGGTGGCAAATTAATGGGGTGACTAATCAACAGCTATGGTATACGTTGGTATATATTTATGTATTGGAGGTCAGACTTTATAAGTACGGGCCAATGTCCCACTCGAATATAATAAACTGTTTGATAATAGACAATATGTGCAGGTCCTTGTTTTTGGATCTACGATCCGCCCACTTTGGCGGTACTTTTGTTTATTTATTGTGCGATTTGACGATTTCCTTATCACTTAACCCAAATTTAGACTTTATTTCCCWCTAAGTGACTTTGATCATTTTCCATTAATGGCTCTGCCATCATGGAAATCTCGTTATATTAGATTGATGGCGAATAGATTGCCGGTACTGTTTATTAATTTATTAATAGGTAATCCAATCAAACTAAAGTAGTTTTCTAACACACTGATCCGTTTCCATAGCCAACGTGCATAATTTCCCCTCCTTATAAGGAAGCTCAGCACGGGATGAGTAAAAAACGCAACGAAAAAGCTCTAGTTTTGACTGGCTTTGGACACAATGGTACGTTTCCGTACCTTATGTACATAGTTCGCCGTCCTTAGGGCAAGAGATTCCTGAAAAGGAAAAAACGCCACAAAAGCGCGCTAGTTTGGACTGCTCTTTATAGGCCTCGGACACAGTGGTAAATTTCCGTATCGCATGTAATGGTTCGCCGTCCTTAGGGCAAGAGATTTCAGAACAGGGAAAAACGCAACACAATTGCGTTAGCTAGGGCAGGTTGTTATAAGCCTCGAACACACTGATAGATTTCCGTAACGTATGAGCATAGTTTTTCATCCTCGGGGAAATTGAAAACTACGGTAAAAAATGCAGACTTGGGCTTATAGCATGCTGACACTCTATTAATACTAACTTATCAAAAATGCGAAATATCTTAGTATGGTAAAATTACTGAGTATTAAAGGRAATCGTTATTATGATTCTAGTGAGTGTGAAGATGCAGTCTAACTTAAGAATTATGGACAACATAAATATAAACTATGCAATATCATGGGCGTATCCAGGATTTTCATTGTGTGTGTGTGTGGGGGGGGGGGGATTTACATACCAAATTGTCACTGTAACGTCATTTTATGTCAATATGATGTCATGATGTCATAAAAATCTAATTTTCACGCTTTTTTGGCTAAGGGGGGTCACGGGCAAATAGKGGAAAGATAATTCTAGCAAGTTAAAAAAAAAAAACAGGTTATAACACAAAGTCAATTAAACAGAATAAAATAGAACAAAATGAATTAAAAGAGAAAGAAATATGTGGAAGACAACCAGACTGACTGACGCGCATCTCATCAGAAACGTCGAACTATAACAATAATGGCGACACTGTTTCTTTCTATACATAAACTGCCTAATTTTTATCAAGCTAAAATTCTTATTTATCGACATTTCGCGATTAMTCTTATCTATTTCAGTGAAAATTTTTGATAAAAGCCTAGAGAACTAAAATATGGCATGAATCTACACTTATATTCGAGTAATCAAACGACAAAAATGGCGGTCTCACAACAATTGAAGCAATCCTCAACTCAATATATTTTTTTCTGCACCATATGATCCCAAGACTGGCGCCATTTCTTATATTTTCTTTGCTTATTGTAAGTAGTCGTAATCAAAGAACGTTAATTRCCAATAACTAAGAAAAAAATTCGAGACTGTGCTCGCAGTTGGGGTGTAAAACGCAAACTAGAATTGGTCTTTATAAGTTGATTTTTATCTTTGGAAACTAATAAACAGGAATGGATCCAGCGCTGGGGGTCGTAAATCGAAAACCTGTTAATATTAATCTGTGGTTTCGGCATACAACATATATATCTAGAATTCGTTTTTGTATTATTGTTTTGATTTTTTGTTTATTGTTTTTTTTTTATTTTGAAGTCTATTCATTTTACCCTGTAGGAGTACAAAACGGTCCCATAAAATATCAAAGTGCTTGCAGAATTTGTTCCAGTTGCTCGCCCAGAGATCACACGAAAAAAAACCTTTGCATATGGAGAGTTTCAAACCAAGTATTGTGCGATATATCTGGAGATATTCAAGGSAATATTGTGAGATCCGTAACGTTCTATAATTGTCATTTATAAAATGTTTCATATATAACGCGCGCTCTGATTGGCTGACGACCGTGTTTATATCAGAGGACAGAGACACGGCTTACCGGCAAAATTTTCTTTTCGCTCGAAAAATTTTATAAAAGAAATATAAAACGGCCGCTTGTGTCTCTGTCCTCTGATATAAACACGGTGGGAGTTGAAAAACACTCGAGAAGCAAGAGAAACACTCGCTACGCCCGTGTTCCTAAGCTTGCTCTCTCGTGTTTTTCGAACTCCCACCGTGTTTATATCAGAGGACAGAGACACGCGCGTCGTTTTGTATTTCTTAAGGACAGCGATAGATTGATAACACCATTAAGAAAGAAAGTGGGCAAAGATGACACTGTGTAGTCGATAATGATTGCCAAAAGCAAAATGAAAAAAAGAAAAAAAATCGCGATGAGATGAAAACAATAAACCCACTTGCGATTAAACTGAGATAATCTTTATATCGCTTTAGGCTAATTTTATCTTTATCGTCGTCCATCACGCCGATGCAGGCGGAACGCCGCGTCCCACACACACGTTTGTTAATATTACGTATCTATCATGAACGTAAACGAGACTTTTACGTCATGTATTATTACATGTTAGAAAAGATCGGTTATAAGTCACTTACGCAGCTACTAGTAACGTAAACGTAAAAATGTTTGATAACAAAACCTAAGATTTGGCCTTGGGGGTCTTTAGACCAAAATCACGTAAACTAAAACTCTGTAGCGACGTCAGTTTGAAATATTAACGTTACCTCAGGCTTACAAGTCAGGTGTAACGTTGATCTTCTGAAAAGAGGGTGTGTTTTGGCACTTTTAACTTCTGTGGACCCTAGTTCTCGATATCGATGGTAGTCTGGATTTATTCCTATCACTTTCTATAATAACCAGCTTAATACATAACCTAGAGCTATGAAGTAATTATCGCGCTCCGTTGAATGATTCCAAGAATAAGGTTCCTTCCGTAGATTACATGCGTGTTTTATAACGTGCGTGACTGAATGATACATGTTTAGTGAAAGCAATTTTAGAATTTTCTTAGCGGATTGATCGTTGTAACGGATGACTRATGGCTTTCTATAGCAAGAATCATTTTATGCTTGTTAGTCAAGAGCATAGTATTTCTAATATAGCATTTGTAGTATTATTTTGACAATGGCACGGCTTAAAGGTAAATTAAGCGTAGCGCATTTTTTGCACGCGTCCATACTATGTTCTCAAGGTCAAATCTCTATTTCAATGAAAGTTTTGATGCGGCTGATATTATCATTGTCTGATAAACGGAATTATTTATTTATTTAATTTTAACGCTTTGACGCAATGTTTTATTACGTCTATTCAGTATTAAAATAATTGTCAAGCACAATGCGTTACCGTGACTATGTGATYTGCTGCCTACGCTTTACGTAGACACTTGCGTCACGCAACGTTTTAGTATTAGGAGTGAAGGATAAGAAAAGATCGCGTGTTAAAAACGCCTGAGGAATCCCACGTGTCAGTAAAACGACATTGAAATTACAACCACTGCATCCATTTAGAACATTAGATCAACGGATAACGTTTCAAGAGATGTCTTTTGATCACTTGTTCCATTTCGATTTGAATTACTACTTGTCTGATTTCAGTCTATAAATGATGATTTCAGTCTATAAATGAATCTTTTCGATGATCAAAAATGAAATGCATTAACTGCAATGGTATATTCATAAGACTGCAAGAATGACTTTATATTTATCATGCTGTGTTTTTTTGCTTGCTTATATCTTTACTTCACTTTTGTCAAAGCTTATGCAACAGATTTAATTAAAATATGAATGATGGTTCGATCTCTTAATTGTTTTCTTGTTAAACCTTGTAACTCTGCATGAGATCTCATTTTCCCATTTCAAGAAATGCAAATCCCAGTTTCCATTTTAGCCTGGCATTAATAAATATGCGTAAAGGAAGAGAGACCAATTGGTTTTGTCTTTTTATTTGTTTGAGTCTAAATAAGCATTTTCTTGTGAAAAGATGTACATTTTAAACGCGACTTCACAACAAGGAAGTGAATGGTCAAACTCAAGTGATCTCCAAGTAGTTGTCTAAAAAGGCTGGCCATTTCTTTTCTTCCATCGATTAAAAATCTTTTTGATTGACAAGATTAAGTTGCACACACTTCAGTCAAAGTGGCTCGTTTTGGATGCTGGGAAGGAGAATCAATACGATAAACATCTATCAAATCAAGGTAAATCAGGGAATACATATACACATGCAGAATGAACATTGACATTAAAGCCATAACTATGACTGACAAAAATGAATACATATACACATGCAGAATGAACATTGACATTAAAGCCATAACTATGACTGACAAAAATGAAAAGAATTAATCAAGAGACTAAAACGGAAGGGAAATACTTGGGGAAATCAAAATAAATAATATTTTAGAGGAAATCATGATTTTATCATGAATTTATTATTCTACTGAAAAATGACCAAAAAAATATCTCTGGCTTATTTTGTCTGATGCAAAGAACGACGATTAAGTTTTTAAGATAATTGATGTAGAACTGAGAAAAATAATGATTATTTAATAGTAATTCACATTAATACTGTATATCATAGAAAATGGCTGTATTAATATATAATAAAACTCTTTTTACATGTAAAACGCTAAGTAAAATAAATTTCCCATATAATAACATATTACAATGCTCCACTGATAAAGAAATATTGTTTAAAAAATAATACGTGTAAGCCTTATCTGATAAACTGATCTTTTAAGAGATCGGTTTAAAATGTTCCATATCTAGGCGCCCGTAAAGTTTCCATTATTTCCCCGAGAGCCATCTTATCTTCAGTACAGCAAAAAGCCAGACACCCACGACTAGGAAAATTTCAAGCGTGCATGCTTTTCCGTTTAAAAACACTTGGATTTGTCGAAACACATTGCCGACAAAAGGGTTAAAATGCCAAATAAACATTTTAATCCGCATATTTTGTTACCAAATAAAGCAACTATCTGATTTATATTGCTTTGACATCATTAATTTAAGTCTAATTAAAGAAGTTCGAAGCAATTATCCGTCGACAAAAAGACATGATTTATGAAAGAATGAAGAATGGAACAACTAATCGAAACTGCAAAATCAAACGTAAAAACGAGACGAATCAGAAAGCTAATGAAATTCACATTACTAATTACGTATATATATGACGTCATGGCGCTAGCAAAAATAAATCGCAATATCGTCTGATTAGCGGTAACGAAGCCCTGAGTTACGATCGATTGAATAAAACATTGTTATCTACGTGTTTTTATTTGCGTACAACGCAATGGGCGTCCTCGCCGCCAGCATTTGGCTTAATGTTCAAGTGTTTTATTGCATCGAATGACATGACATTGCCACTGGTATCGCTTCTAAGAATTGCCAAAGGCAAGAAGCCTAGAAATCAGAGGCCATGTCGAACTGTTAGAGTCATATGAATGAACATTAATGTCAACTGCGTTTACGTGGACTAATGTGTGTCATCTCGCAAGTGACGCATAACCCCCTACCCCCACCCCCTACGAAAAAAATTAATTTCTTAACAACACTTTATGCACACTGGAATGCGAGTTTGGAACGAGGAATAACAAATATTCGAGTATCTGTAAATAGAAGCAGAACGTGTAGGCAAGCATTGTGACTGTTGTCGTTCAGATTACTAGTGCTCGATCTCTAAAAACAACTGCATGACGAACCGTTCATCCATTTGACCTTCAATGAATTCGTGCTTTTGCCATTGCAGGATGCCTCTCTTCGGTAAAAAGAAGTTCGACGATAAAATCACGAAAAAGTATGAATTAGGAGAGGTTCTAGGATCGTAAGTATCACTTCTTATCACTTGTAAAACCCTTGATTGCTTGACGTTATATACAGACGATTTCACAGCCACCCATAGTGTTTGTTGGCCATAGTTTCGAGCGAAATGAACACTGACACATCACAATCTGACATGTCGCGAAATCTAACTAACCGAAGATTTATGTGTTCAAATCCAGAGGTGCTTTCTCTGAAGTTATCTTCGCCTCGGAGAAAGAAACGGGCAAGCAGTATGCCATTAAATGCATCGCCAAGAAGGACATCAAGGGAAAAGAGGAAGGAGTTGAGAACGAGATCGCTATCCTCAAGAAGTAAGTTCAATACTTCAAGATTTATGTTGACAAGCTCTATGCATTTTGGTTTGATCGCGAGCGCGTTGTCAAATGACGGCATTTTATTCCGTTAACACCGAAAATTAAAAGCATCTAATCGATACTCTCTAGAATTAAGTCTTACTACAAATTATAACATTAGTCGAAGCACCAAGACGCATGGCTGTTGAGAACAGCTAACCGCGCGCTCTTTTATTATACTCGTTCTGAAATGAACTGATTTGTAACTTCTAGGGTATCACACAAGAATATTATTGGACTGAGAGACATCGTAGACAACAAATCTCATCTCTATTTAGTCATGGATTTGTAAGTGCAATTTGAAAACTTATTTCTGATATATATCGATATTTGCCATATGTAATACTAGTGTAATCATGTTTATGTCGCGATATTTTTTAACAGCATTACTATCGCCAAATCTAGTTAGTTAAACGCGTTTTGACAAGTCGTGACAATTGGAAAATGTTAATTTACAAAAGACTTGTTTATGCTCCACAATAGGCAAGAATCGCTGGTTCAATTCGGCGTATCGTTCATGTATTGTCTTTTTTCCAACATGGATATTGGGTATTAAATATCCCTACTGGAACCAACTAATTTATATGCAGTTACGAGATTTCGCTCCTCAACACAATAATAGCAAGCGTGACAGGTGAAATTGATCGTCACTTTTATTAACGTCCGAATAAAATAACAAACCAACATTATTAATAAAATGAACGGTGTTGGGTTCCATCCGTGCGATATTTCATTATAATACACTATGCTTAGGGTAAATAGAAGCAAAAAAACACCCGAGTTCGTGTAAATTGGTTTAAATTTAATTAGCATTGGCCGTCMATACAACTGYTATTGAATGCAATAACGGGATTTAAACAAAACCGCAAATAAATTTCCTTATACTTTTACTCTCTGATATTGGAGTGTACGGCAGATGCGCTTCGGTGATGTCATGTTTGCCAAATAGGAAATAAGCTTGCTCCTTACGGTACACCCCCTGGGGTTTGTTGATCATGTACAAATAAGGTGATTATGGTAATTTTAATATTATACATCATGAAAATTATTGATAAGGATAAACATATACTGGGAATTGATGTTTGTTTATACATGTTATATCGTCGATGTCAATAGGACATATATCTCAGATCTARGAAGATATCCAAAGGATATAATTATACGCCCACAAGGTGGTAAACTTTACTTTAACAAAATAAATAATGAAGGGAAGAAATGTCAACATTTCCCAATATCTGATTGTACTGCAGGAGACGTAGGAAAAATATTAATATTGATGTTGATGGTTAATAATACATAAGAAATTATCGATCACGTGGTATTATAATCTATTTATTTTCACTTGAATATCTTGTTGTAAAAAAATATTTGTATTTTTTTAGGGTATCCATCCCAATTGCAGGTTGTTGTCTTTGGGGTGCATGTGAAATAGAAGGGGATGGCAAAAAAACCTTTAAGTAATTAGTRGCCCATTGGTTAGGCAGTGCAATATTGTTTCTAGGCTTTTTATTTAATTACATTTTACCGTAAATTTAAACATGGACAAATATTCTTATTAAATTTGCATTATTTATTTATATGTTTAAATTGGACTTCAAGTGCTGTTTTCAACTATATTAATTAATATAAGGTATTAAGCTCTTTAAAACAATTATTTTACTTTCACCTTTTTTCACATAGAATGTTTCAGTCAATGATTTTTTTATAATGCTGCTAAAATATATTTAGGTCAAGGTAGCTTTAYATTGTTATTATTGTTGAATTAGATGTTGTGATGGCAACCATGGCAGATGCAGGAAAAATGAAAAATAAATTTATTTACAAAGAATAATAATAATAACAGAAAAAAAGAAAGAAAAAGAAAAAAAATAAATTGAAGTAACAATGATGGCATCTTCTCTTTTTAAGTTCACTACCAATAACCATGTAATGTAAGGTCTTTTTTTATCACAATTCTAATATATAGATTAATATTTTTATTTCAGAGTACAAGGTGGAGAACTGTTTGACAGAATTGTAGAGAAGGGTAGCTATACAGAGCAAGATGCCAGCCAACTTATCCAACAAATTCTAGAAGCAGCTGACTATCTTCACTCATTGGGCATTGTACATAGAGATTTAAAGGTTAGAACCCATTAGGAATACATTGTGGTCTGATGTATACTATAGAGTGCAGCTTTCTATATGAGAGTGGATTTAATGGATTTGGGAATTATGAGCACCAAAATATGAAGTCTTGCATTAGGGCACATTTATTGCATTAAATCTTCATCTCATATAACTGTGTATTGCWTTTTCACACTATGTACTACTTATGTTATAAATATTAATGTCTCATAATTTATTCATTACTATTTCCAGCCTGAAAATTTGTTATATTACAGGTAAGACAATTTTTATGATGGCTTCATACTTTGCCCACTTTCTATTGTAATGTAAATTAGTCCCTAACTTCCAAAGAAAAATAGCAGAAAGTGGCAGCTGTATTGAAATGGCACCACATACACTTGCCTATATTAAAGAAAACTTTTGCTGATGACTTAAAAATTGGATTCAAATTCACATTTATAAAATAACAAACTATTTGTCTTTGGAGTCTAGTATCAACAAAGTATTCTCATTTACTGTAAACTTTGAAATTATTTTTAAATTTAAAAAGTAGTGTTAAGGCCACATATTAGATGACTCTTCTGGTGGAGTCATGTGAAGTAAATGACATTGATTAACTACTACGTTGCATTAAATTGTGGAAGCTGTCATAATGTTGGCAGCTTCTATCAATAATATGATTTTCCAATTAACTCAATAATTTTGATTTTCAGTCCTGATGAAGATTCTAAAATTATGATCAGTGATTTTGGTTTATCAAAGATGGAAGGCCAGGATGGAATGGCTACAGCATGTGGTACACCAGGTTATGTCGGTAAGGCTTTGTAAACCCTAATGTTGACAGTTTATGTAACCTGTTTTAAAATATTGATGGAGGGAGTGGAATGGATACGGGACCATTTATTACACACACTGCAACAAGTTGCTTTGACATTGAGTGGYGACAATTTGCAGATAAATCCTGTGGTGTTAATGTATGGTGACTATTAAGCTGTTGTTGTAAATCCCACATTGCAAAAATTCCTGAAACCATCACTAAAATACCAGAATACTMTTAGCAATCAAGTTGCTGCAACATTGTATGTGCCAACGGTTTCCTAGTAGCAAATCCACTGATATGCAGTAGGAAACCAATWAAGTGTCAGTATACTTTGAGTAAAAATTGGTTGCAACATTTTGATATAATAGGGTTTCTGTTGCAAATCCCCTGGTGAAGTGTAGGAAACCACTAAACATCAGCATGCTCTAAACAACAAGTTGTCTGAAAATCCCCTGTAGAGGGGTAGGGGATCTCTAGTATTTGAAATGAAGCCACTCAAATGACATCATAGACTAGACAACAAGTTACTTAACAATGTGCCATGACAATGTCCTGTTGCAAATTCCCGGATATGGGTCAGGAAACCACTAAAATGTCAGCTCACTTTAGGCAACAGGTTGCTGCAGCATTGTGTCATGACAGTGGGCTATTGTTGCAAGAGTCTTGATGATGACTCACCATACCCTGATTATGACCAATCTATCTAATCATACACCTCAGGCACCAATTTTCTCCCTTTTTTGCTTTCAGCACCTGAAGTCCTTCGACAAGAGGTTTATGGTAAAGCAGTGGACTGTTGGTCTATAGGAGTAATATGTTATATCCTGTAAGTCACTAGAGATTTATTTGTGTACATATAACTACTGTTTTCTGTTCAATTTTTCATCCAAAGTGAAGTTAATTGTGACGTTGATATTTTCATGACTGCAATCCCATGTATAAAGCACACTATTGATAAATGCTATTAATTGAGACATAAATTATGTACTAACCTAACCTGAATGACATGAATGTACTATATTTACCCGCAGTAATATCGAAATGCGATTTTTAGAAAGTAAAATCATCACAAAAATGAAAGGTTTATCAGCTTATGTAAAGGTTTATTTCCTTACAATTAGAGTGACATGATTTTACTTTTTATAAGGATGCTTTCCATTTATCTGTTATTCCATGGAAAACTTTGAAGATGACTTAAAAATCTCAACAAAAAAGCATTATTTACTTCTGAATAGAACAGTCAGATCAGCCAGTTGTGCCTTAATGGACAGTGCCTTACAATTAAAACTCATTCAATCTAATATGTAGACTGATTCATATGACAAAATTAACAGATTTGTTGCTTCTATAGATCAAATGCTAATGTTTGTTTTATTTCAAGGTTATGTGGCTATCCGCCTTTCTACGATGAAAGTGACGCTAACCTTTTTGCTCAAATTATGAGAGGGGAATATGAATTTGATGCACCCTATTGGTAAGCACATCTTGAAATAATCATCTCTCAATATGCCAAACAAATGTTATCACTACCAATACCAAAGTTTTTAACCTTTTATTGAACACCTTTCATTGATGTCAGACATCAATGAAAGATTTAAGGTGGCTGGTGCCACCTTAATTCCTGGTGCAATATACTATAGAGACTTACTTTACTTTACTTTTTGTCRGTTCATATATAGAGAATGTTCACTGATACATGTACAGTATAATAACTTTGGAAGGAGATTTTTTTTGTAAAAGTTATCTTATCTGATAAATTATCATATGATATCATGGATGAGATGTTTTCACTTCAAGTAATTGATAATTAGTAATGTTAAAATTATTTGCCACAGTCGGTAAATACATTTATTTAAATGAATTAACTGACTTGTTTATTAATGTTTCCACAGGGATGAAATTTCAGAATCAGGTAACTTAATAAGACCTGCATTTAAAATGCTATTAGAATATTCATTGCAGTAATCTTATGTGTCCTATTTTTCATTTTAGCTAAAGATTTCATTAGACATCTAATGGAAGTAGATCCTAAAAAGAGATACACATGCAAACAGTCCCTAGCTCACCCTTGGTAAGTTATAACAACTACAGCAATGACAAGAAAACAAGAAGAAGGGGTGTTGGGAGAAAATTTCTTGTGGGCACAGGAATCTCAGTCACATTTTTTTGGGCCATGTGTTACATTGAGTTTTTTAGAAAATATATTTTAAAGGATTGAAGAATAATTCATGTGATATAGTATTGCTTCTAACACTACCAATACGATGGAACTTGATTTGGTCTGCACACATGGACATTTTATGGGAGTTCTTTCCTAGGGGAAAATTTGGCTGGCACGGGAATTCGCCACGGAAAGCTTAATACAGTCATCTTTTTCCCATTCAAAGCGAGCAACCGCTGCTTTAGTTGACAACAGTCTCTCATGCGCAGAGACCTKACCAAAAACAAAAGAAAGCATGAAAAAATGCTGTCATTACAATAGCCCTATAAATGTGCATTTTCTCTGATTCCTTATAAAAAATATTAACTTGAACTCTTATTTGACAAGGGGGTCCTACATGTAACCCTGTGACATCCGAGTGTATACCTTATGATGTGTGTCTCGTTATTATTTTGAATCCTGACCTGTGCAATCTTTGTTTATTTATCAAATTATTTATTATTATTATTTCATAATRTGGCAAATTGAATATACTTAGGATATCTGGAGGTACAGCTCTCACCAAAGACATCCATGCGTCAGTCAGTGAACAAATCAARAAAAATTTCTATAAGCAAAAATGGAAGGTAAAACTTTGATGAATTTGCATTTTATCTCTTAGTCTAGAAAATTGATAATCAAAAGTTTGAATATCAGGGGGAAAAATGAGAATTTAGAGTAAAAAAATTATATTTTCATCATGAAATGATGACAGAATAATATTGATGTATCAGCATTATAATTAATATTAATAATTATAATGTTATTATGTGTATTTGCAGCAAGCATTCAATGCCGCTACAGCGATAGGCCGAATGAGAGCTCTTGGACTTGGTAAACAAGACAACAACAACCAAAAGCCAAACTAGAAAAACACCACTCTGTCTCCTTTTGAAGACGTTAGACAAACTTTTTAAAATGCTGTCATAATGGATGTTGCTTGACAATTGTAGCCATTTTTGATAAAAAAATGGTTTTTAGGACATCAGTGATAACTCATTGATATGTATGCTGTGACTGGACTTAACTGCACAAGTTAAGAAGATGATTTTAAATGAAATGGTGGACAGAGGTTTTGGATAGAAGATAATAGGATATATCCTATAGTAAGATACTTTGATAATTATTAACTCTATACACAATATAGGATCTCAATGGGCACAATCTTTGGATTTTCAGAGCAGATTTTTTCCAAGTGTGCGAATTTCTAACTATGACCATGCTAAATGTAATGACCTTGCTGATTATATCCCTGAATTTTCACTTCCGTCACTTCCGTATAGAATCTGCTCTTCTCTCCTGGTGTCACTCTTTTATTAACTCTTCACCCTATGGTTGGGCTTCCTGTCCCACTCAGTGAGTGATGGGATCAAATTCCCTGTGCTCAGCCCAGGGAATTTCACAGTGGTCTCAGTTTTTCTTGTTGAGAAGGGAAAAACCTTATGGAGATTTTGAAGTAACCACACTTCCTTTTGAACATCATTCTTATAACATGCACACACAAGAATAACTCACAAGTGAATGCAAAAAAACTATTTTTTCCACAATTTTGAGCAAACTATTTCACCAATACAGTGAATGCATCCAATACACGTTTACGACATAAACCGGAAGTAACTTAGGAATTGAAAAATATTCTTTTTGAATTTAACAAGAAGCAAGAAAATGTACTTTAGCTACAGACAAGGAATTTTTCTTGAATCTAGTAGGTGATATTTGCCATCTAAACTCCTTCAGGGCCCTTAGGCCTCGTTTCCATCCCTTTGTTTTCTATTGTTTTCAATTCACTTCCGGCTTACGTCRTAAGCATCTATTGCAGTAAGTTTGGGTCTTTTGTTGAGACCAGTTGATTATTCTGTTGCATGTATTCGCATTCTGATCCCTGATGGCATAGTGTCACAGATCCTTGATCCCATATACCATATCAGGACCCTGCTTTCAATTTTTATTTTCTCTAATTTTAGAGGCTTTTAATGGATAGGAGATGGGTAGAGCAACATAATGAAATCGAAACTGAACAGTTTAGCATTGAAGTCAATATTTATGACTATTCCTTCAATTCAAGTTTGGCATCGTTAAACATGTTTGAAGGTCAACTCATTGAGATCCTACCACCGATATGTTGAGAAGTAAATAATATTCAATTCTAAGTAGACTTTGATTGTTTTACCCGCTTTCATAATGAAATGAATATAATAACCATATAAATATATATAAGCTTTGATCTTAAGATTTGTTWATATTTTTGTAAAGTAGTTGGTTTTTCTTATTAATTATTTGTTCAAACATGTATTGTGTAGACATTTTACGCAAAGGCGTCAGCGTCTTTTTTGCGTAAACGTATCTTGTGTACCTTTTGTACCTAGAAGACTAGAATGGACCGTAGCCAGACCAACATCTGCCAAAACGGCCGCCAAAACTGCTATCTCTATCTTCGTAAAACATTCTTAGTTAATGGAAAACACGACCAATTTAAAAAAAAGTGATCACCATTTTTATACTCGTGACTACGCTTCAGATAATGTARCAATTCTGCAAACAATAGATCTATATATCCATGTATACAGAGTTCACTCTGCTAACTCTGATGTACAGTTATTTCAAAAAACCTTGTCGTACAGAACGACGAACGGAGAAGGGAGATTGCACCACCGAAAGGGACTGTGGTTGCACTGTTAATTACACTTATTGGATTCACCTTTCATAAAAATGGAGACTAAATGGAGCCAATATGTAACCACAGGCTATCTTACAGTACAAATCAGATCAAATCAGCAAACAATGGCTACGTTTCGTTCGTGCAATCGCCAATCGAACATTGACATTCKCCATTTTATCCGACAACCTTTTTTGAGATAGATATATCTATATAGCTCTATTGTTTTATACGGGGCGAACTACGAGACACACTAGCTTAGGAATAGTCCAACATCGATGAAAACGACTAATGTTATGTATCAACAGTCAGACGTTTAATTATGTCCTCTTTAATGTGAAGTTTGATTTTTTTTATTTTATCGCAGCTGTTGTATAAGCAAAACTGATTTGGCGAACATGCACCAGTTTAGGTATCATCTCATTGCACGCGACYCACTACCGAGCAGTCTATCTCAGATATAGCCAGAACAAGTATTCTGTTGAATCGCATTAGRCGATTTATGTTGCTGATAGTGGTAGAAATAATGCCACTAGCTAGTCAAGAAAGGTTAGCTGCATAAGCATTTTATTTCCGCTTGCCAAGCATGTTAATTATAATTTTAGAATGCATGGCGAGTAGAAGGAAATGAAAGGTTGAAAGTGATGGAGTGAGGCGAATACTTCCYTTTGTTCCTTGTGCGAAAAACGTTAGAAACGTCGTGCATTCTCATCAAGGTTRTGTAACAATAAAAAATGGTCGATAAGCTGATGATCGACATTTTTTTCTTTGAACTTTACTCGTGCAAGTTAGTTRAGGAAGCACTGATAACTCAATTTGTAAAGCCAATGACGTCACAAATTCCAACAAATTTTGGGTGGCACGCTATTTTGATTGTGACCATGTCCAAGTTCGCATAAGGAATGGTAAAACAAAGTTTCTACACGTAATTTTAGAATTTAATAAAGTTTCGAACCTATTATCGAAATAAAGGTTTCGATTGGAGTCTATATTATTTTCGGCCTGGAGCGTTTTTCCCGTTTAAAATGGATTAGAGTAATTTAGTTTTATCAGGTYCACCTCTGATAACAGTCAGGATTATTGTAGCTACTGTGAATGATACGATTTAACTGGGTAAACAGAGGTTTARTCCATTTATTTTCCTCTTATCTCATTTGTTGAACCTTCTTTCCTTACCATAACCTATCATAATATATTCAGAGGTGCTTCATTCATTTCCTTCGACAAATAGTGTTTCAGGAAGCTTCTATAATAACATTTTAACATCTGCGCGCCAACATTTTAAGTCTGTGTTGATGATGCTCACGCTGCATTGCCAAGATAAATATTGCATGACGTTTACAATATCACTTAAAACGCATTCCAATTTCTGTCAATCAGCAGGTCACGATGCGTCACATCATAACTAAGACATGAAGGCTCAAGGATTTCAAGCAATTTCTTGTTCATAATAACGATGACTGAGAGCTAACCAGCAATGGCGAGAGCTATATTCTTGCTGTTGCCTAACCGATAATATGRTTGTTGGTGATATCTGATATTACTTACAGTASGAACTAAATGCGACCCGACTCGTATTTGGACCGCTTCAGTAAAATAAACAGTTTCTCTTGGGATTACTTTAAGCTCATATTCGACAGCTGAGCCAGATTCAAGAAGTCGATCCAAGAAACATGAAGTGCCAGTGCTTTATTCTCATATATGYTCTTTGGCTTTCTGATGTATCTTGTACGAATAGCTCCGAAGGTAAGATGGCTTATTCGTACTTATTATTKTCAATATGTAACACGTGAAAATCCAATGATCTTCTCAGTTTCGTTAGCGAGTGTACATCAGGAAAGCGTATCTTTTATTCGATATTTAGAAGGGTTTCCATGCCAGTCTATGGGCGCTTTTATACGCCAATATTGTGCAAAAAAACTTGTAGCTTCGTGTCATCAGTATTTATAACTAGCATTAATATTATTAATCCATAACCAAATATTGACTATTCATATAACGGTTCGTGCGKTCATCAAAATGTCTCACAGGAGTGTGATAACTATAACATAACAGAACAGCAAGACACTAGTGTTTTTGAAMGGGATAATAGTCGCAAACACTTGTGTTTAACACCGAAAACGTTCGAGAACATATACAAGAACAGCATGTTCTTATTGAAGAACGGATGAGAAACTTCTGAACTCACAAATATTTCATTGCTAAAAATATAATATTGTAGAAGACAAAACATCTTGCGAATCTCTTTCAAAACGCGTCTTTTTTTTTGTTTTAGGATGTAAAAAAAGTGTTTATTAGCATTTTCTGTGTACTAATGAAAACTTCCTCATCTAATTTAATCTAGGTATACAATAATTGCATTTTGAGAACTGTGCAAGTATTTTTCAAACTCTGTGGAATAAATCCTCTTGTCATTGAAATGAGRATATGTTTTGCCCACGTTATTTTGAAGTTATCTTAAAGTTGAGGCACTTACAATGATTTGCAGCGGATCGATACCAATCGGTATAAAATGGYGCCCACCCACGGTATAACCGATTATCACTAAAAATGGGTCATAATGATTCCTCAAGTCACTTCAATGGCAGTGGAACCGGACAYGAGGTGCACAAAAGATGTGCAATTCGACAACTGAGAACAATTTCCTGATCACTTAAGACTACAGACGAAAAATGAAAGCTTCTTATTGTGAGATTTCTATTTTACTTTTCATCAGTGACATGTCCAGAGAATATCATTCTGCAATACAGCATAAGAATAAGATGTATAACATATTGTAAAGATTTTTCATCCGTACTGCTTCGTATATTTCATTTTGATTCTTTATTTTGCGGGAGAGAAGTTTTCATTTGAAATGGGATAAGAGAGATTCCAAATATACTCYCACGGTCTTGGTTGATATTCAACAATAGAAGAAAAAAAAAAGAAAAGTTTGACTAGATTGCTATATTTCATTTTTTCCATTTTCATTTGTCTATAATTCAATATTACTACCGACCCTAACTAGTGAAGGCCATAGCCAAAAACATTTAAAATTTAGTCAGAAGATACAAAATCATTTGCATCTAAAGAAGCATCAATTTTATGTTTAGTAAGTGATCAATATAAAAGTGTCCAAACATCGATATCAATATTGCACTCACTTCACTGTCGTTGCAAATATAAATRTATATCGACCTTCTTTAAGTTGTTTTCAACTCATTATCACAAATCTCGAGCGAATATGATAGACAACTGCTTGAGGGCTGATAGAAATTAGAAAATCCCTAAAGAACTGTTTGCTAATCCAAACTGTTTACACTTTTAACATCTTAAAAGATGTTATGTAGTATGGAAACAGCATCAACCTTAACATAGCGGTTTTCGAGCTTCATAGAACGATGTTTTGAATTATCAGTTTCTGCAAACAAAAATTGCATCTGACAGGTGGTAGAAAAAAACCTTGATTTCAGCTTGTGTTTTGGTTACCATGTCATAGTTGAAAACAATCATTTTTTTCTGGAATGATCCAGATATTGTGATATGTAAGATAAAATCACGAACATCGTTGATTGTTCTGCTATCGTACCGCGAGGTAAATTAAAAGATGCGAAAATAGGAGAGATTAAAAACAGCAGAAATGTGACTTTTGAATAACTCCAAAAGGGAAAAGTGATTCCACAAAATAAATAAGTCAAMCTCTAGCCAGACAACAATTGAAAACCGTTTGTAATAATTGGGGAGATTTGCCAGCTACTATGAAAACAGAAGATAATAAAATGTGTATGGGTTGTAAGGAATAAGTGCAGACTTTGCTGGGCACCGGTTGACACTGAATTGAAGGTCTAAGTGTTTAATTATTAGGATGTCAAAAACTAGACGCTTTAGTGAGCTCTATTGTATGTTTAGTGTCAGAATGTTTTGGGACAAGAACTGAATGGAATATCAATCTAGAAATGACTCCAACTATAGTGATATGGTAACAGCCATATGATGGAAATGACGAATCTATGAATATAAAAAGATGTGAAGAAAATCGCGCTTTTAAAGAACTATTTGCATTGGTATATTAGCTATACTTAGATGATATCTTAGATACTTATCAGTAAGACTATAGTTTCCTGGGTGTTTAATTTTAAAGCGATTTATGAGGGCGGAAGAACCGTGGAGACAATTTAGAAAAAACTTGGCGTGGTATATCCTGTTCCGATGCTTCTTTTATCGTCTTTAGGTTTATTGCCACGCTGAACATTCAATTATAAAAACGCAGTTCCTCTAACATATTATTATTAATTATAATAATAAAAGATTTAATCACATAATTACTCGTGACCAGTCCCTAGGCCGGGTCACGAGTCAGAAAATGCAGCGCGTATAGTTTTTTTTTTTTTTTCTATGTGAGACCTTTGTCTTCGGGCTGACCTTTGCGTCCCGAACGCATATCACATTGCGAACTCGGGTGTACCTTTGCCCCCGATCGCACTCCGATCTCTAAACGAAATATCACATTACGAACTCGGCTGTAAACAAGCATATCATAGAACAGCAAAACTGCTCGGGATTTACTGAATCTTTTATACTAACGAGATATAAATCAATACTTCGTAGATAAATGAAGCCCGTAGATGTCTGATACAGCGCGCAATCGCACGCAGTTTGAATTGAAATATTCGTCAAAACTCAGAATTATCGACTGTTGTGGTCAGACTCTGCCGCTTATTACTCATCTGAGCATTTGGGATAGCGGAAAGTTTTCTGTTAGAGGCGAAGGGATCTCAAGTTATACGATCGACAGCTCTTCTACATACGAACCAGTACTCTAAACAATCGTATCATAGAATCATAGAACAGCAATAACTGCCCGGGATTTACTGTAGTTTTTTAGTAATTCTTTGATATTCGAGGCCTTTTGTTATTCCAAAACATTCATCTGTGTAAGAGCATGTATTAGGACATTGGTTTAGGTCATAAAGGTTGGTGTATCGAGCCAAATAGTTCATTTTCCTTGGCGAGATATAAACCGATACTTCGTAGCTGACTTCGTGGCTGTCTGATTCTGAGTTGCATAGCCTATATTTTCTAATTTGATGAGGGATTCTGTCTCTTCTGGTTAAAGAAAACAATGCTATTCACAGATGAGTATTCCTAGATGAAGATCGTTTAAGCTACCATGCATGGTTATAGAGCGGGCCGCCTTCCTGTTTGCGAAGATCGCTCGCCACACGGCGCCGAGCTGTCTGATTTTGATACTGTAGTATACTTGACCTTAAATTACTACAATATTCTTACTATGTTTCACGCGAAAGACTATCAGAGTGAACGATTTGATTCTACGCTTTTAAAGATTGTCAAAAATTATTGTATATCTAGTTCCTTCAAAAGCTGCTAAATATTACATGAAAAGTAATCAACAAGGAGTTAATACTTTCACAAACGTTTTCTCTTAATATCGTAATATAGTTTGATTTCAAATCACTTTGTGATTTATAAGTATAGATGAACTGCATGTCTTGGTAGCACTATTCTTTACATCTAAACCAGACCCTCCTTAGAGCGTCAACTCGGTCGAACTATTTTTGAAAATTGAGAAAGACAGTATATTACATGGTTGGTCAAACACAAGAAAAGTTTCAAATGAGCTCATTTTGAAAAATAAGACAGCACTTTTCAACACCTTTAGGGCACGAGTACACCCTGCTGTCAGGGTCTAGTTATCTTTGAAATACCTATAATTCTCTTTTTCAGAAAGTTGCTATTTTCACTAGTGAAAATAAAATGTTATTTTGGACACACGAATTTTATCTTCTCGTGTTGAAAATCTCTCAATCGTAAGAGATCTTTTCAACTCTCGATGATATAATCCGTATCTCCGCGGACCCATGTAATATCCTCTATATAAYATAATAACAGATTCCAATGAGGAAATTTTACTGCATTTAGATAAACGGCACTTCATAACTTGAGACAACAATTGACGACAATAAGTATATGTGTAAATTTTGTGTGTAAACAATTTGCCTGCGTTAAATTATGCCAATTGCTTTTTTCTTTTTCYTTTGTCTATTTAGCACAATTTAGTATCAATTGACAATTTTGTGGGTTTGTTGTTTGTATTGCGGGGAATCGAACCCTGAATTCATTTGTTGAATAAAGCAAAACTGAGAAAGACAACGCATCCGGAAAAGTCGTGAGTTATCGCATTGAGATGTCAATCAATGTTGACAGACAGTTTTGCAGTCAAAGAGGGAGGAAACGCTCGGATCCTAAGCCATTGASGAGCGTACCTTACCGCTAAACCTTCGTGTCAACCTAGTTTATCTAAAGGCGAATAACTTAGTATAAGATTGTATAAGTAATCACTATAATGGATTTTTAAGACAATAAATAAATCACATGAAATTTAATTCACCTAAATTTAATTAGAGTAGATTCAATAAACCCATAGGCCTTTTCTGAGATAGMCGTTGCATTGCATTGTGGTCTACGTTGAGTAGAAACATCTTTTCTTCWTGCTGAMAAATATGCCGYTGCRTRTTTTGAAGATAGACAGCAATGCACTATGATTWTGTGTTTCAGTGTATTTCAGAAAAGGATGTGACGACACAGWTGTTAGACTAACACACCGTTATAGTCACTATCGGTACGATGATCGCGTACGMTTTTTAGTATACGATTTTCCTACGACAAGTCGTAGGGTTTTGAGCCGCGGTTCAATGATCGTACTAGAACTCGTATGTTGCGTACGACTGTTGCAGGCAAATCATTGGGGAATTTCCACGGCGTGATTTGGAGCTCATTTGAGTCGTTTACTACGAACGCTTAGTCGTACACGACAATCGCATCGTGTAAATCCGACTTAATCTTGATWTATTTTTTTGTAAGAACGAAAACATTTATTCTAAACTTTAATTAAACAACAAAATACCATAAAACCTTTAAGTTCCAGATAAAATACTTGAACACAAACCATACCGTTATCTTGGGTGCTTCATTGACAAAGATGATTCATCACAACGTGCAATGGGGAAAAAGCTTGGTGAACATGACACGGTAACAATGTGCGCCGAGAAAGCCTGGAAAAGAGGATACGAAGTGTTTGGTGTCCAAAATGGAAGCGAATGTTGGTCATCAAAGAACGCCAGCTTTACTTATGGTATTTATGGTAACTCTTCTGGATGCACCAACGGTACAGGTGGTGAAATGGACAACGATGTTTACGCATTTCTTTGTAAGTCTT